CATTCCTTTTCTACCTTGCTCATTTTATTGTTAGAAACCAATCCAAATCCCATTTTTAGGACGACACGTTCAAAAAGATGATATTTATGACTGTGATGGAGGCCAAGCAGTTGAAAGCAAATCCAGTGTCTCACTGGTGTCTCCTGCCTTCTAGTTTCATGTATAAAGATTTGGGAATGGCCAGATTTTTCTTCAAAGGCTTGGTAGTTTCTTTTTAAACATACAATATTGACCCAGGAGGAAGCATTCAGGTCAGTTTGGGCTTTCACTTCATGATTGCTGAACTTTCCTGCAAGCTGTTTTTTTTTTCACAGACTCTCTCCAGGAAGAGAAGGAACATTCTTCACAATTCTAGTCCCTTTAAAGAATGACCTCCTTGGCTCTAAGAGGATCTTTCAGTTATTAGCAGCAAAAATGAATTATCCTAAAGCGAACTCTTTTTTCAAGTCCTAGAACACGGAAGGTTAATGATCAACTTGCTTTAAGGAGAGAAATATGAAAAGCAGAATTGCCACGTCTGCTGAAGAACTAATCAAGCATATTGTTCCCTTGATTCTAGAAAATTGTAATGCGCTTTAAAAAAGGTTGAAAAGATGTCCATGGTGTACCCTAAGTTTACTTCATCATCTGTAAATGTGTGTTCCTGGGTCCTGTAGTGCTGGTGGTTCCAGGGACAGCGGGGATGTGGTGAAGACATGGCTGCTTGTGGTGGTCTGGTGTTCCTCATCATTCCAAATGACAGACGGTTCCCTCTGCTGGCTGAACTGAAATTCAGCCCTCCACGCTGAGACAGTTTGGGAGGAATCACCAGTGGTCTCACTGATTATTAAAACATAATTCTGAGTTTCATTCTTAAAGATCTAACCTCATCTATAATGAGCTTAAGTGTAGTCCAGAACTGGTAATTTATTACCTTCCTTCCTTCATTCCTTCATTCCTTCTTCCCTCCCTTCCTCCCTTCCTCCCTTCCCTCCCTCCTTTACTTCTAGAAAACAAACAAATACAGATGAGCAGAAAAAGTAGTATTATGACTCTCACTATCCCAAAACGAGTATCTTGTTTGGTCAGATTTGCTTCCAGTGTTGTTTTTTCCTTTTTAAAGAAGCTATTGTAAAACCAAGTTCATTTTCAACAATAATGTCCTGTCCTTCCCTCCACCCTCCACTTTCTTTGCTGCCTGCACTCCCTGCCCAAAATTTGCTACCATAAATTTGGGACATATTTGACTAGCCAATTGTTTATACTTTTACATACATGTATGTGTATCCACAACAGCAACCCCCAACCTTTTTGGCACCAGGGACTGGTTTTGTGGAAGACAATTTTTCCTTGGATGGGGAGCGGGGGTATGGTTTTAGGATGAAACTGTTTCCCTTCAGATCATCAGGTGTTAGAGTCTCATCATAAGGAGCATGCAGCCTAGATCCCTCACATGCACAGTTCACAATAGGGTTCCTGCTCTAATGAGAACATAATGTCCCTGCTGATATGACAGGAGGCAGAGCTCAGGCGGTATTGCTCCCTTGCCCACCACTCACCTCCTGCTGTGTGGCCCTCTTCCTAACAGGCCACAGAGTGGTACTGGTCTGCCACCTGGGGGTTGGGGACCCCGATCTACAATGAATTGGGTTTATATGTTTAACATTTTCCTTTGTGTTGCTTTTCTGCACATGACATTTATGAAACATTCACACTAACATCTATAAAACCAATCTATTCTTTTTAACAGCCATATATCCTTTAATCATTTAATTATAGCATATTTTATTTACCTATTTCCCTTTAAGGGTGAGTTTTAGGTCATTTTCAAATTTTGTTATACTGAAATAAGTGCTGCAATAATCATTTTAGCGTATGTTTCCTTGTATGTGTGTTTTTTAACCCTGGTATATCCCCCAGGAAGAGTCAGTGTGCCATGGCATATGTGTACTGTCACTTCTGACAATACAGTAAAATTGCTCAATAAAATAATATACCAATTCATGATTCTGCCAGAAGTAAACTAGCATAATATGCTATTTTTTCTCGCATCTTGGACAACACTGAATTTTGTCAGCTTTTTCATATTAACTAATCTGATAGAAAGAAGGCAGAATCCCATTATTTTCATTTGCATTTTTCTCATGTTTAGTGAGTGTATTTGTCTGTTTTCATGCTGCTGATAAAGACATACTGGAGACTGGGCAATTTACAAAAGAAATAGGTTTAATGGACTTAGAATTCCACATGGCTGGGGAGGCCTCACACTTATGGCAGAAGGCAAGGAAGAGCAAGTCACATCTTCCGTGGACGGCAAAGAGAGAGCTAGTGCAGGGAAACTCCTGTTTTTAAAACCATCAGATCAAGAACAGCCCAGGAAAGACTCACCCACTGGTTTAATTACCTCCCACCAGGTTCCTCCCATGACACATGGAATTGTTGGAGTTACAGTTCAAGTTGTAAAACCATATCAGTGAGATTGAACTTCTTTTCTTATGTCCGTGGTTCGTGTCCATGGTTCTTAGGTCCATGGTTCATTGTCCATGGTTCAATGTCTGGGGTTCATTATTTCTTGTTTTCCTTATATATTCTAGTTACTTATTCCCTTTCTGTTAAATATGTTGCTAATATCTTCGGCTGATCTGGCATTTGAGAAGATGATTTCTTCAGATGATCAGTAAAGTTAAATTGTTACGGTTTCTAATTTAATTCTATGTAGTATCAAGAAGTCAGGCCTATCTCTACCTTCAATCTATTGCAAATCCTTTTGGATCTGCTTTCAAAATATTCAGCATAGGACTAAGCTATTTTCACTATCCCGCATGCTACCTGGTTACCACCTTTATTCGCCAGGATACCTACAGGAGCCTTCAAAGTGGCCTTGCTCTTCAGTTTATTCTTACCAAATAGCTAGAGAAAGCCGATTAAAATCTAAGTCAGGTCTTAGTTCGCCTCTGCTTAGACAAGGCAATGGCTTCCTACCTTGCCCCAAGTCAAAGCCTAAGTTCTTAGAGTGGCCCATGAGGTCCATCACCCTCCAGCTCCCCGTCACCACTCTGACCTGGTTTCCTGCCACTCTCCCCTGGCTATTCCAGCCGCACTGGCCTCCCTGCTGTTCTGACATATCAATGTGCACCTGCCTAGGACCTTTGTACTTTCTGTTCCCTCTGCCTAGAATTTCTTCATCCAGAGCCATCATCATGGCTGTCTTCTGTACCTCAAATCTTCCCCGAGACACTACCCTTTCAGTGACATCTTTCCTGATCTCCCTGCTCAAAAATGTAACAATCACCCCAAACTCACTGTACTAATTTCCTAGGGTGGCAGTAACTAAGTACCATACACTGAGTGGCTTAAAACAACAGAAATGTGTTGTCGGATAGTTCTGAAATCGAAGTGTCACCAGGGCCATGCTCCCTCTGAAATCTGCAGGGGAATCTTTCTTTGCCTCTTCCTAGCTTCCGGTGATTTTCCGGCAATCCTTGGCTTGTGGCTACATAACCCCAATCTCTGCCTTTGTCCTGACATGGCGTTCCTTCTCCCCTGTGTCTTTGCATGTTCACCTGGTCATCCTCTTATATCCAGTCATATTAGATTAGAGGCCCAGCCACCCTACTCCAGTATGAATTCATCTTAACTTAAATAATTATGTCTGTATCAATCCTATTACCAAATAAGGTCACATTCTCAGTACTGAGGGTTAGGACTTCAACATATCTTTGTTCCTGATGGAGAGGGATTGGAGTAACAGAATTCAACCCATAACACTCGCCATCTCCCTTCCCATTATGTGTTTCTCCAGAGTCCTTAGCACTGTTTAACCAACCACGTATTTTACATATGCATTTTGTTTGTCTGTCTCCTCTACCAGAAGGTAGACAACATAATGGCCAGATCATATTCACTGCTATAGAGAATATTGCCTGACACCTTAGTAGAATCTGAATAAACAGTTGTTAAATGAACAGTTATCCGCTTTCAATTACTACATTGAGCTGACTGTGTAACATGATGTGGACCAAAATTATTTGATTAAAAAAAGGAAACAACCTTTAAATGAGATCCTAGGGAATGAATTGGTGTTTATGATATTTTTATTTTAAAGAAAGGTACATGAAGGAAACCCAGAGGTAGAGTCAGAGCACTGAGTTACCAGCCAGTGTGGGGATGAGTGCGTTGTCATTGACTGATTTATGGGCAGTGAGGTCTCAATGGCCTCCCTGTCACTCGTCCACTTTGGAGTTATCTCTGCAAGTAGGGTGGGTCATGAGGCTTTCACTTCGTCCTAGCATCTAACATGTGACAGGAACTGTGCTTGGTTCTTTATCCTCATTTAGGAAAACACCATCCTCTTCATAAATGTACCCTTCAAACATTATTATACCCATTTGATAGAGATGGAAAGTGAGGCTCAATGAAGTTGAGTGTCTACACAGGACATAGAAATAGTGAACCCATTACTAGGATTCAAACTCAGGCCAGTGGAACAAACAAACAAACAAAAAACCATGTTCCTTTCCCTGTCAGATTCCTTCAGATTTTTGTGGACTCCAGTGTTTCAAGGGAAAGTGAGTAAAGTGGCCCACACATGACTCTTCAGACAGATGACTCGGCAAAGACCACCAGAAAACCAGACACTCTTCCTACCAGACTCAGGGTCAGCCTCATCCTTTTGCAAAATGGAAAGCTGCAGTGCCAGGACTTGTCAGTTCTTGAGGAGGGTCAAATGATGCGGCTAAAACAACCCTGGACTACGAATCAGGAATGAATAATTAAGGCACGGTTCTGCCACTTTTCTTGTGTGATCATGTATGAACCAGTTATACCCCTTTGAGCCACAATCTCCAATGTGCAGACTAAGGACGATGCCTGCAAAAATCACGTGTACCTTTATTCTGCCCTTTTAACAAACCTATGTGGAAATGCTCAGTATTCATGGTGAATGTTCCTAATGAAATTGTACCGAGAGCCATCTGGATTACTGCTGAAATAATCATCCGAATTTCTTGTTCCTGGTGTAGGTATCCGGGAATACCTGCCTGCTTAGACCCTCTAGAAAACTTGTGTGCATCCTGCCTCCTGAGGACTCTGAAGACGTAGCAGTCTTCTGAAAGGTAGGGTTTACTTAATTTCGATTTTTTTCTTTTCAAAGAGTTTGAAATAATTGACCTGCTATGGGCATCCTTATAATGGTAGTAACGTTCCTATGTACATGTAAAATAGAACTTTTAAAATGGTAAAATTTCAGGGCTAGATTCCCTTGGAGAATTTACCCTCTTTCAACTTCTATTTGTAGCTGCCATTTAAAAAATTGGGGTATAAATATTATGTCAGTTAAATAAAAGAGTGATGACTTTACTTTCTGAAGAAAGCATTACCTTTCTTTTCCATGAAATGTAGCTTACCTGTTACCAGATTGACATGCCATTATATTATCCTCCCCCCAGCAGACAGTTACACATATTTAATAATTTTGATGTGTAAAAGGTAAGGTTAAACAGTTACAAAGTCAAGTTGTTATGCTTTGCCTGGCTTTGAGAACTCGAGTGGAATGGAAGTGAGATGAGGAGCAGTGGGAGGAGGCTGTTATGAGACAGATTTTCCGAAGGCATCAGGTATTGTTCTTGGTCAGAGGAAGTCCAAGTGGCATATGCTGGGACAGACAGTGAAGGGTAGGTCTTACAAAGAGACTTGAAGTTAGAGTAAAATAATCACTTGTCTGTATGCATCTTTGAATGATTTCAGTGGATATGTTGAATATGTATTTTTAAAAATAGCAGCAAAGGGCCTATAATCCCGTCACTTTAGGAGGCCCAGGTGGGTGGATCACTTGAGTTCAGGAGTTCGAGACCAGCCTGATCAACATGATGAAACGCTGTCTCTACCAACAATACAAAAATTAGCCAGGCGTGGTGGTGGGTGCCTGTAATTCCAGCTACTTGGGAGGCTGAGGTGGGAGAATCGCTGTAATCGCACTCCAGCCTGGGTAACAGAGTAAGACCCTGCCACACACACAAAAAACCAAAATAATAATAATAATGGCACTAAAGTAGGAGCAATGCACTAATCTGGTAATCTCTTCAGCATGTCGCCAGGGGACTGTGCTCATGTAACCCCTCCCTAGGACTCATATTCACTCCTCTCCTTTTCTGTCACTTCATCTCATCTTTACTCCTTTAACAGTAACTCCCATTCCTAGGTCTCAGACAGTTTGCATGTATAATAAGTATGTATACTGAATAATCCTATGTGCCAGAACACAAAGATACTATGCTCCTTGTCCTGTTCCAGGTAAGCCCCTGTTTCCTGTACCCACTTTGCAATGCCAGCCTGCTTATCCTCCGTGCCACCTTTCTTTTTCTCTCATTCCACAGTCACTTGAAACCCATGGCTTACGCCAATTTGCAGAGTTGGGGAGGATCGCTCCTAGAGTCGTAGAACTGAGACGTTGCTGCATCTTGTTGTGGGATGAGGCAGGCATCTTTGCTTCCTAAATGTGTCTGATTTTTCTCTGGCAGGTCACCTGCATGTTTAGACAGTTTACCTGGAAAGCAAAGAAGGTTTAAAGGCAATAAATGAAATGAGGTGAAATGGAGCACTGGTATTACGTGCCTTTTCACTATGAGCCTTTGCATGTAATTATTTGATCCTTTTCTTTTTGTTTTGGTTCGTGTTTTAAGCCCTGAAGGAAGGCTTTTTTTTTTTTTTTTTTTTTTTTTTTTTTTTGAGATGGAGTCTTACTCTGTGGCCCATGCTGGCATACAGTGGTGCGATCTCAGCTCACTGCAACCTCTGCCTCCCGGTTTCAAGTGATTCTCCTGCCTCAGCCTCCCAAGTAGCTGGAATTAAAGGTGCTTGCCACCACGCCCAGTTATTTTTTGTATTTTTTGTAGATATGGAGTTTCACCATGTTGGCCAGGCAGGTCTTGAACTCCTGACCTCAAGTGATCCACTCACCTCAGCCTCCCAAAGTGTCGAGACTACAGGAATAAGCCATCACACCCAGCCAGAAACCTCTTTTTAAACATAAAAGCTATCAATATAAAATATATTATTTTTGTAAAGATAGCATTTTGATATTAATAATGACTGATAAAAAGAAAAAAAAGACCTGTAGGCGATTTTAAGTTTTAGAAATCCGACTTACTCTTTGCTTAGAACGACTTCCATTTTCTCTCCTGATAATAAAGAATATGTGCCTAACATCTCCAAAACCCCTTTGCTATTTCTTCTCTTTACAAAGACTAACTCAGAGTTCTACTGTTTGCTGTGCGATCTTAGTGAACTCAACCTCTAAGAACTCTGGTTTCATCCTCCATAAAATGAAGCTAATTATGGGAACTGCTGCAAAGAATAGTTATGAAGGATTAACTGGCAATTTACGTAAAGTGGTTAGCAAGGTGGCTGGCATACAGAAGGCTTCAAGAAGTGGAAGCCATTATAATTATTGTGAGAAAGAAATATGTACTTACCAACTCTGTGTTGGTATTTTAGAATTTTCAATATTTTTATTTCTCTTGGGATATTATCTATTGCAGTTTTCAATGAGGCAGAATTTAGAGATATCTGAGACCAAAGAAATAAGGTAAAATAACGTGGCACAGTACCATATAGATAATCACTGGTAGTCATGCTTCTGTACAAGCCTCATTGCTTTGAGATGTAATGCTACCAGTCTAAGGCTAGAATTGATTGATGTTCTTTCATTCTATCATTTAACTTTGTGTTGTTTTCATTCCAAGTCTTCTCGTGTACTTGGCAAGATGATCAAGGAAGCTCTGAGTCTGAGTTCTGTTTCTACTTAAAAATAAAATCAAATATCATTAACTGAGGAAGCAAATGGAGGTTAAGTATTTTGAGGAGAGGCGTTAGGAAATGCAAAAAAAATGTTTCCTACATGTTTTTACTTGTTTCTATTCCAGTATGGCTAAGTAAGTTCTACTGGACCTGGCATTCTCACAGGTCCAGTAAGTGCCAAAAAAGTACCAAATGACCAGAAGAAAGAGAAAAGAGAAAGGAAATTACCTGGAAGCCCTAGGGAGTAAAAATAAGCAGACAGTTTCTGGAGAGGAGCTGAAATTCAAAACTTGGAGGCACAGATTAGTCCAGAGTGAGTGTCCCATTTTGCAACTTTTAGACTAAGAGCAGGCTGAAATTAATGACACTTAGGGTGGCCAGCCTCCAATAGAAAACTCACAGTGTTTTTGGTTTGGAGACCCAAAGAACAGAGTTCAGGGCAATCATTGCCACAGGAACATGAATTTAGAATCTTGGAAAGAAAAGAGGCAGAGAGGGGAAGCTCCCAAATCAGTATAGAAACACTACCCAGATTTCTGGCTGACCCTTGAATTGTATTAATATGAGACCAACTACATTTTCAAACAAAAAGTTACCAGAGATAAAGAGGAACATTTCATAATAATTAAGTCATTATATTAAGAAGACTTAAGAATTGTAGATGAGTGTGCACTTGATTAAATTCCAGGTGAGATCACGTCATGTAATTTTGAGGTACCTGTCATGGATCTATTCGTGCATGGAGCAGACACAGATTAGCACAAAAATAAAAGAACTAAACTGAGGTTTGAGCTGCCATCGAAGAGATAGTTTTAAATTTGAGTATAACTAATTGCCTGCTAAAATAAATAAATCAATACCCTTCAGAAAACTATAACAGGATTCAAACTCTTCATACTGTAACATCCATACACGCATATCATACAACCCCAAATTACATGATAGTTGAAAATCCAATAAAGTCTGACTCATTCTGAAGACAAAAGGCAGTTATCTTAGACCAATTCCCAGATGACCCAGCTGTAGGAATTAACAAAGATTTTTAAAGTGGCTATTATAACCATGCTCCACCAATAATAGGAAAATAAACTCATGATGAATAACAAGGTAGTAAACAGAAACTGCAAAAAAGAACCAAATAGAAATTCTGAAACTGAAAAATACAATATTTGAAATAAAAACTCATTGAATATACTTACAGCAATTGGAGGTATCAGAGGAAAGTGTCAGTGAACTTAAAGATAGAGCTATAGAAATTTTCTTTTGGAAGAACAGAAATTAAAAAAAAGACGTAAAACAACTGAACAGAAAAAATAAACAGAGACTCAGGGACCTGTGTAACAAAAATTAAAATGTCTAACACATGTGTCATTAGATTCTCAGAAGGAGGAGAGAAAGAGAATGAAACAGAAAAAATATTTGAAGACAAAATGGGCCCAAATTTTCAAATTTGGTGAAATACATTAATGTATAGATAAAGAAATGCAATGAACCCCAAATAGGATACATTTGAAGAAAATTGTGCATAGGTACATCATATTCCAACTGATGAACACCAACAATAAAGAGAGAATCTTGATAGTAGCCAGAGAAAAATGGCACAATATCTTTGGTGGAACAATGCTTTAAATGAACACTGACCTCTCTTCAGAATTTATGAAGGCCAGAAAAAGTGAAATGATATTTTTAAAGTACAAAGGAGTGGGGGAAAAAGCAAAAAACTGTTAATCCAGAATTCTATATATAGTGAAAATATCCTTTGTGAGTAAAGGCAAATAAAGAACATTTTCAGATAAAAGGAAACTAAGAGCATTTATTGCCAGCAGACCTGCACCACAGAAATGCTAAAGGAAGTTGTTCAGGCTAAAGTGACTTAACACTAGATGGAATCTTAAGTCTTCAAGAAGAAATGAAAAAAATATTGGAAATTGTAAGTATAAAAGACTATTTTTTCATAATAAGATCTTTAACACACAGGACCCATTAAAGCAAAAAATTTTAACATTGTCTTATATTTATAATGTAATATGTGTAGATGTTCTCCATATGACTTTATAGCATAAATAATGAAGATGGTGGCAAATGGATTTACACAGTTGCAAGGGTTTCCAATTTTGTATGAGATCATGTAAAATTAACTCTAAGTAGACTGTGAAAGCTCAAGAATGTATATTTTAATTCCTAGAACAACCACTGAAAATCCAAAGATAAAATAAAATAGAATCCTAAGTTTAAAAAAATGTGGATCCAAAGAGAAGCAACAGAAGAACAAGAAGCAGAGGAGCAAACAGAAAATAAATAGTAAAATTGTGGCTCT